TTTTCTTTTAAAACACTTTGGAGTGATTTTTTTAACATTTTGGTCTGTGAGAGATAATATGATTTTTTCAAAATCTGAAGAAGCTGTTTCTGAATCATTGTTATATTGTTTTAGGAGAAATTCCGTAATTTCATTTTTTTCACTGTAATGCAGAGAGGCCAAGAATTTATTTTTTGTATCCACATCCCAAATATATTTTGCTGGTAATGGATCCAATTTATTTTTGTTATTATTTTTTTTCAGGGCATTATAGATGATTTGGTTTATGGCTAAAGACAAAGAGATAGGGCAGTGATCCGAAATATTAGATAGCTCGTGAACTTTGAAGTATTGTATAAAAATGTTTTGAAATAATCCCAAAGTCAATAGCGCTGCAACCATTTGGTGTGTAAACATATGGGTATCGAAATATATCTCTAGTTTTCCCGGGAATGTAAGAATAATAATTTTGGCACGTGTACATGTACAGGAAATGATTTAATACATATATTAATTCAGATGGCATTTCTAACGACCTGTAACGATGCAGACACTTTTGCACTGCATCTAAACCCATGTAATTTCTTAAACAAACGGTGGTTTGACAAGGAGTGTTTCAATAGACCATTTTCCGTTCACTGCGAGAATCACGCGTTATGCGTGAAATCGAACGTAAAAACAGGACAAACAAAGGTCACAGCGTGTAGTGGCGTCAAACATCGCGTGGGATTCGACAAACGCGAAAGTATTTTGGGGGACATTTCCATGCTTAATAATGTGCTGTCCACATTTGATGATAGGCAATTTCGATTAAGTGAGGGTATTCGGAAGCAATATTCCTCTGTAGAAGATCGGCCGGTCGATGTGAGCTACGAAATAAAGAAATTCGAGTTGAAAATCAAATCGTTCGATTTTTACAGCAGACGTTCGACGCGCGTCTTTCATGCGTCTCGCGAGATCTCGCAATTGTACGAAAAATCACCTATTTGAAAAGGTTGGTAGGCGTACATCGAATCATTTTCGCTACTCAAGAACTGTTGATACATCGAATCACTATATAATAACTAGAAAAGCATATCACTTCTTCATCAGACATAAGAAGAAAAAAAGATTGTGTTGATAGAGGAAAAGTCAATGTAGTTAAGAAACCAAACTCAAAGGAATTCTGGGATTTACTGAAATGTGAACAAAGCGGTTCGTCTATGAATATTAATCTAGATGAGTGGTTCAGTTATTTTTCACGATTATTTTCAGACAATATCTCTGATTTTTTTATTCATAATAGTAGTAATATTTGTTTGAGTGAGGCGTAGCACTTTTTGGTTGGTCTCGACATTGACCTGGACCTACTTGATCACGAAGTAACTATAAATAAACTGGATTGTTCATAAGACGGGGACCAGATCTAGACGGCTTTTCTTCAGTGCTTTCGTTTGCTTTTTCTATAGTACCAGTAGATTGACCCACTGCAGAATATTTCGAATTTTACCAATATTTTACAACGCCTATTTTACCCATTGAGAATGTATTTATGTATTATTTCAGGGATACAATAAATACCGAAAAATAACAAATAAATAATTAATAAATATTTTTTCCACACACGGTGGAAACTTATATTCACAGACGTCTGAAAATAATGCTTTGCAAAATTCGCTTAAAGGAAACAATATAGATACGGCAAAATTAGATTCAAACAGATCATATTGTGGCATTTTTTGCGTTACTGCTTAATACACATGTTTACCGTTTCGATTGCGTGTACTTTTACCGACTTTTATTTACGATGCCATTTGGCGTCGCACATTTGTGTTACACAACGGGAGAGCATAGCTCTTCTGTGACGATAAAATTTCAATATTCAAAAATAAAAACTTTAAAAAAACACCAAATGTATCAGAAATGACTAAAAGACTATTACAACGATGAAAGACAGACACAGAAAGAGCTATGGACCCACAGCTATACGCATTTCAATGACATGTCGGGCATTCCGTATAATGTATTCCAAACTTCCATGGATTAATTAATGGTCAAAACTACGGAAAACGGTACATGGTTAAATCACAGACAACTGATACACCCTTAGACTAGAATACACTTGGCCGTCATTTAACACCGTGAAATAGTAAAATAATTACGACTACCAAAGGAAACAGAATTAAACAATTTATTTGCAATTTGATATCATTGCAATTATATTAGGTCATACAAAAATGATTTTATGAACTCGTTTGATCGTTATTTAACATGGATTGAAAAACCATTCTTTTTCAAGTTTACTGCTGAACATAGAAAGTTTAACGACTGCTGTAGTTTATTGCGGGACACAAATACGCACGTAACTCTTGGTGGCGCTATTGCACTATCACTCAGTCAGTTTCGCGGCAGGTCGGTTTGCACTGCCTTCCAATTTCACTTTCATTCATTTGCAAATTAGCATTTGTTTGGCAGGTCATACTCACCTACCAAGTAACCGCGACCTTTTTGTTCCGTTCACTGCCTTGGGGATTTTACTTTCAGCATCCATGAGTTTCGGTGTAGAAATTTCGATGACGAATTAAAGAGTGACTTAATGTGGGAGACCTAAGCCATCTGTTGCGCCGTGGACCGACTATTTGGCATCACTCCCCAGCTATTACCAGTGCTGAGCAGGGAAGACTGAACGAGCGACATGGCGAGGCTTGTTTTATTGGTGGTATCGATTATTAGTGCGACTGTAGTCACCGGTGAGTATATTATACAACATATTAATTAACAATATGCATTTTGAGTGCGTGTGTCAGTGAAGCCATCCCAAGTGACCCTCCCACCAACCTGCAGGACTGTACTCTGGGCTAACCCTCTCTCTGATCACAGTCCCTCGGGCGTGCTATGGTCAAACCATGGAAGGTACTATGGTCAAACACACAAACGATGACAGTTTGTTCTCTCTTGATTCACCAGAGACAAGGCGACTAAGTAATAGCATTAGTCACTACGAACCGCTCGATTATAACCAGCGAGATCTACATGAAAAACACGACAGGGCGAGGAGATCGGCAGACGGCGAGTTGGAACTCCAGTTCAACGCCCTTGAGAGGTAAATATTGAAAACATTAATTTTAATATCGTACGTCGCTGGACAACAGTGAATCATGAACGGTAGTAAAGTACTACTTCCTTATGAGTGAACAAATACCCACGAGAATGGGCTCTTATTACGTAATAGGGCGGAGATCGTAAATCATCATTTGTCATTGTTTCAAACAATTTCAAAAGTGTGTCGCTTTTAATCAATAGCAAATAGTACAGCCGTGGTTTCGCGTCGTTTTGTACTCTGATAGGACAGTGTATCGGAACTCCCAGTGGTCGACCAGAACAGCCGAGTTGATTCATTGTTGCATTGTATTGTTCATAACAAGTAAATTACTAGTATTTTCCGAAATTAACCTGGTTTTCATATCCAAATAAAGCTTTTACATCACCTTTTTCGCATGTAAGTATTATGCTAATATAGCCTAATTTACAAAATAATAATTGTTATGTAAATTAGGCTCAATTGTCATTTAAATGAGCTGATATGCTATCAACATTCCTTGGGAGAACACTGGCTTCTTATACGAATATAGTTTTCACTATGAGGATCCAGTCTTATTTGAAATTGTTCTAATATTGAAAGGTGCATCTGAGGTTTAATTTATAACATCCTGTATGTTATTAGGGTTATTCGTGACATCATTGAAACTCACTCAGGTCAGACATAGTTCTTAGAATAGTAAACTAGTTCACTGAACCTTTTTGTGTTCTTCACAATACATGCCATCTTGTTATCATGTCATATGTCTTTGTTGTGTATCCTGTCTTATTGTAGTACATGGTCTATGTATTCATGGTGTTTTCTACTTGTACTTTCTAATTCTATTAAGAATAAAATAGTTTCTGCCACATTGTTTTTCTTTAAAAGTGCTACTGTAAGATACATTTCAAATCGAACAATATGCATGGTGTATTTCCGCCATTTAATATCACACATATTCATGGTGTATTTTTGCCATGCAATATCACACATATTCATGGTGTATTTCTGCCATGTAATATCACTTATATTCATAGTGTATTTCTGTTGTGTAATATCACACATAATCATAGTGTATTTTTGCCATGTAATATCACACGTATTCATGGTGTATTTTTGCCATGTAATATCACACGTATTCATGGTGTATTTTTGCCATGTAATATCACACGTATTCATGGTGTATTTCTACCATGTAATATCACACATATTCATAGTGTATTTTTGCCATGTAATATCACACATATTCATGGTGTATTTCTGCCATGTAATATCACACATATTCATGGTGTATTTCTGCCATGTAATATCACACGTATTCATGGTGTATTTTGCCATGTAATATCACACGTATTCATAATGTATTTTTGCCATGTAATATCACACGTATTCATGGTGTATTTTTGCCATACACATGTACTAAGTTTCACACAGACTGGTTACATTTTTCAATCACTCACATATTTTGTCACAAAAAAAAATGAAACTACCTGTTTGTGAATTGTTAAACACTAAATGTAATTTTTGAGTTAAAATAATAATTAGTTGAATGATTCCAGTCTTTTCAATACCTTTGTTTATTTAGAGATTGGGGATCTCTAGATCAAGATCAATGCTTAAGCACCATAGTGTTATTTTTGTCAATTCAAACAACAATGAAAAATAGTAATTTTTCAGGAAAAAATTAATGGTTAAAAATTAGATTTGTGTTAATTTTATGGTAGGTATTCATGTTTACTTAAAATTAGCCAATCATTAACTAAATTTGATATCTGTCTAGCAACTTTTTAAAATTGTCTACCAGTGGACATTATCAAGGTGTAAATTTCAAAAAGAAAGTGGCTATGTAAGCTTCTGTCCCAAAGATTCCCAGTAAAATTTTCAAAATTTGAAGATTTACCAAACTTTTGAAAATTGGTCTTTGCTCTCGGCCTATAGTACATTGTAGTTTTATTTTATTATGAATCACAATAAACACTGAATTAATACATGGTCTGTTTATAGTGATGAACAAGCTGCCAAACTGTCAACTAATTTTCTATCTATGTGGTCGTGTTGCAGAGGTTTTCCATGACTGGTTTTCACGGGGCAAAGCATTTTCTTTGCTTCAATAAGTTGTTTGAACAGCTATGTCCTGGTATCAGAACACTGAAATTCAATTGTAATGTAAATTACATGACAATAGCGTATTTGCCTTAACCTAATAGAAAATAGTGGAAAACACATTCAAGTATGAGAAATTCTCATCTAGTCCTGTGTAGAGTATTGTTAGAGTGATAAAAAGGACCTCATACATAATGCTTTTCTGCTGTTTAATTACCGGTAGTAAGTCATGCCTTTAATAATGTTATCTATATGTAGGCAATATTACACCTTGATATACTGTAAAACATGTCTTTTTCGCGAATTTAGCGAGAGACTGATTCACTAATTCAGATGTCGCTTATCAATTCAAAATGGCTGCCAAACAAAGAAATCAACATTGACAAGAGAGAGCTTTTTCAACATGTTTTACAGTAATACATCTACATCTATATGTATTTAGTTCATTTTTCTCTGGCTTTGAGAAGATGCATTTGTTTATCTTTTTTGTGTATGTGTTTTTAGTGATTGGTTGGCACGCAGTCCCTCCACTTTGGTTGGCAGTGCCTTAAAATCTGTATTAGAAGCCGCATCCCTAATAGAAGTCGCACCCGATCTTTTTGAATATTTGAGAACCAAAAATTCATCATTTTTTATATGTATAGATGCTCTAATAGAAGCTGCATCCCATCTGTTGCATCGTACCATTTTAATAGAAGCCACGGTTTCTATTACAGATTTTACAGTACCTTGCATTTGACTTTTAATGATCAACCCTTTATGACAATTTTGTTAATCCAACTGATTCTGTAGTACGGATCCGACTCTATTTAGGCATTACAAACAGCAAGACAACATTTTTTTTTCTTTAAATTTTGTCTTTTCAATAATAGCCCAAGCACAGTGGCTTCAAAGATTCTTAGGAGAATACTTGAGATACACATGTAGTTTGCATCATCAATTTTTTCTTTGATTGCATTAAGCACTCATTATTCCGTGAGGTGACATCATTCACTTAAATTGCCATGTCTTTTAAGCAAAATTATGACCAATAGCATGGCAGCTCAACTTTCTATTCCTAGTAAATATTAAGTCATATAATAATATTAAATATTATATTTGCTGGATTTCATTTTCACTGAATCATTCTTTCAATGGAAATAGCGAAAATTAATTCCAAGTGAAAATACAGTATTTTACAGTAAGACAGTGTGAAGCAATCGCACAATGTTAGTCAGTCAGTCAGTCAGTATTCTGAAGTTCAATTGTGGAAAGGTGTATTGTAATGGCGGTAACAATCAAGTAACTATTTACACAACAGTCAGTTGTGTTTAACTCTATTGTTCTGATTTCATTACCATATTTAGGGGTTATTTGGTACCAGTTCAGTTTCAATGTCAATAAAATTAGGTTGGTAGGAACACTGACACATTGTCGTTGTGAAACTAGTGGAATGTTATGCTATGAATTGACAATATGTCCGCATCTTGACCTCTAAGTAATCAAAGGGTTAAAAGATATAAAATCTTAAAGTGGGAGGGTCGTCACCTGCGTGGGAATTGAGTCCCAAGCGGCGATGATAACGCACGCTAAAAACTCAAAGGCTCATGGGTAGACGCTTGTTTGTAAAAAATGACACGCTATGCCCATCTGATGCATGTGCAGGTGACGACTCCCCAGCTTTAAGTTCATTAGTTTATTACTCTCAAAACAGTGTCAGTGGAAATTGTTAAGTTTTATAACAGTGACACAAAGCGACTTTCACAAAATTTTGTCTAATTCTGTAAAATCTTCAAATCTTAAAAATTTCTAGCAAACAAAATTACATGTATACAGTGCATTGCCAAACACGTGAATGTCATTACATTCATAGATTTTTTCTAGTTGCCATCTTTATCTCAAGTACTGTAAATTACTTTATTTTCACTTGGAATTTGTTTTCGCTGTTTTTACTGAAGGAATGTATCAGTGAAAATACGTTTTTTTTCTATAGTTGAAATCAGTGGAATTAAATTTTATACGAAACAGCGAAAATGTCTTTTCATTGAAAATTAAATTCCAGCTAAAATAAAGTATTTTTACAGTATGCCTGATAGAAATTGATGAGTGTGCATGGCGTAACAACGTCTAATCCAATATGGGGCTTATAATAGGTAAATGGAAATGAATAAAACATGTACACTATTTGGGAATTCAAATTACGTTTTCAAATTAAGGTAGTTCTCTACCATTAAAACATAGATAAAATTGATCACAGTAAATTATTTAAAAATTGTAGTTTGATGATTAATATACATGCAAGTCATTAATATTTTTTATGGAGAAAGAAGGATGTGTTTTCAAGAAAACATATGCAAAATAATCTAAAAAGCCGCCATTTTGGAATATTTTCCATAGGATTCTATTTAAACACATTCTATGGAAAACCTATAATAATATTACAAATTTTTCAATTTTTCTAGACAGCTATATATAGCTGTCATAACACAACATAGCATTTTTATAGAATAGGACACCAAACAAAATTTGGAGATATTATGGAATGTTTCTGGCATAGGAACCACTTGTAAATTATTCAAAACATGCAGTATTTGATCTTTGGAAGTTGTTTTGTGGAAAACGTAGTTTGTTGGCCATATATTTTTATTTCAAGGATTTCTGAGTACCGAGGGTATCGGTATGTTTTTTAATAGTGGCAAACTACGTTAACTACTAGTTTAAGGAATCACTAATTGCATTACACAAGCAATAAGACTTGTGTGATTGATAGTATTCTACATCAGGTATCAGCTTTCACATTTAGAAATGTTTTTTTTTTTATAAAATGTCACAAGTGTATTGTAGCCCAGTACTGAAGAAATTGTTGAAGTTGAGTCTTGATTGGGGAGGCCAAAATATCTTAGACATACATGTAGAAGATTAATTCTGTGGTAAAATTTACATACCGGTACTATTATATCATTATATTGCATGATGCAGTAAGTGCATATCTTCACAGTTAGACATAATACAGGACAGATTAAAATTGCATATTACATAGTTTAATAACTTTTTCATTGTACACACTACCTTCAGGCTGTCAAGAGCTTCCAGGTTTATATACTGTCCAATAACTACGATTTATGGTAAAAATGATTCATGTTTGCATGCTTGTGTTTGTATTTTCAGAATTATTTATTGAAATTAAAAAAAATCATAGCGAGTACGCCGAGTAGAAGCAAATATTGTGAACGAACAGAATCACCATACAAATTTGAATTTACTTCCACTCATACATCAAGTTCAACACAGTTCTTTTTTTAGATACAATGATTGTGTGAAAGTATACATGTGATAAATACATTATCCCATAATATTTTTCTTGCTTTGATGTAAATACACAAGACACAATTGATCACCACCACTGTCGCCTCAATCTTTCCTTACTGCTTGAATTTATACCAAATTTTGATCTTAATCACTAGTGTATATTGTTGTCAACCAAAAAGAAAATATTGAGGAATATAAAAGTTTTTAACTTAACCCAATTAGCACCAGTGTCAACTTCAGGTATCATCCACAAAATAGTTCTATTTATAGTCGGCTCTTTTCAACATTTTGATCAAAAACTGGAGGCAATATCAAATTTTTTCTGTTTGATCCAAAATTAAGATTAAATTTTGTGATAATTACAAAAAATGTGAACAAATTTATCCAAATTTGAGCAGGATCAAAATTTGGCCTGTTTGATATCGGTTGTTTACATGAAATTCGAACATCTGCTGTGTGACGACAACTTCATTCAATTACCATGCATTCTTGTCTTGTTTTGACGTTACGTAAGACATACATTTGGAATTGTTAATTTCGCTAAAATATTTGCATATTTCATATGACCCTGGCAAATATTGTTCCATTATGTGACGTTTAACTCGGAATAGATTCACTGTCTCCAACTTGTGTGATGCGGTTCAAATGACGCTCACTTCTATACGATCGCACTAAGCGCCAATATTGGGCAATAACCTCATAGTATCAGCCAGCCCCCATAGGGGATATTAATTGGCTTATCTACGACATGTGCCGTCTGTTTAATTGTCTGCTCTACATCAAAATGTCTTCCATTGTCATTAGCGCGAGCTATATAAAAATCCTAGCTTTATTACAATGGCATGCACATCCAGTGACCTTACGTACCTTGTTATTGAAACCACCTGCTGTCAAATCCGATTCATTGTAGCATAACTAATAATTCAGTATTAATTTTATCGCAAAAAAAAATTGCTAATTTCGATATAAATTGAAAAGTAAAATTTGTGTTGACTATATTTTATTAATTAATTTTTGTACAAATTGGTTTCATTACTTTCATGTTTTCATTTAAATTATTTATTACATATTGCTGTACATAGAATACGTAATTAAAAATATGTCCAAAATCCCACAGAAACTTGGTGACAGGCTGAACATATTATATAGTACAATTTCTATACTGGGTGTACATGTAGGTATTTATAATATTAGAAATAACAAATGCAAATTTATGTTTTGGAATGTATATGCATTGTAGTGGCTACTGTAAAATGACTAATTGAGTTTAACTTTCGCTGATTTAGCATTTCAGGGATATTCAGTGGGTTTTAAATTCACGGTTTTATCATTTAGATAATGTGTTCTATGCTAAATATTACATATTCACTGGGTTTTAATTTAGCGCATTTCCAGTCAGCAAAATAAGCAAAAATTAAAACCCAGTGAATAATTAATCCTTTCACAGTATTATATTGTTTATATAAATAAACACTCATGCTTATCGTCTGTATTGTTACTATTAGAAGCGCATCTCCAGTAAAAGATAAACTAAAAGTTGTATTAGTTGTACACCTAATAATTATAAATTTAAATAACATATTTTGACCATAGACACATCTCTATAATTTAATTAAGCACATACCGGTAGCAATCTGATTAAAATCCAATGTAGGTATAAGGCTCCAACTTTTTTTTTTTATGACCCTTTATATAATATTTATTTGTATTTTAGTTTGAATATGTCGATTTTTTGGTTTTTCTTGCCGTTAATCAGTTCTTAGAAAATCGTTCCCCAGTCGCCTCTAACTACATCTGACTCGATGCGTATACAAATCTCGTACAACGAGATCAGTTTTCGACAAGATTTGTATATCGTCAAAATGTGAATATTTAAAGCATAGCATATATATGTATGTATTGGTACGCTAAATCCCGACATTGTGTAAATGAAAAAAGATGTCCACAGGGTCGTGTCTTCAGAGGGCGCAATAATTATGGTACAAGATGGCATACTTATCGAGGGTTCTGGGCCGAAATGTCAAATAAGTTGTGATCTTGAATGCCTCTGTAAAAAAGTCTGATGATTTTATGTGTCATTTCCATCATAGTGCGCCTCATAACTTTCTACAGTTCATTATCGATTTCAACAAAATGGTGACTTCCGGTACTTGAACCTTACTTTGTGTAGAGTCATTTCACCCATGCAAGTGTGTCAAAAACAATATTTTGGAAAGATTTGGCCATCTTTATGTGGTTATATTTAATCCAAAAAAAATTGCAATTCATTAATAAATTCACTTCAGATTACATGTACGTAATTTACCATTTCTATACTTCGTGGTAGCAAACTTGAGCTGCAACCTTTTTGTATCCGGAATCTACTGCGAGATTGACATTAACCCTGGGTCACTTGATACCAACTCAATATATCTGGAATTTTGTTATAGTCCATGCACCTAAAAACTAAATTGTTATTTCAGGGATTTTCATCTTCGACTTCGGAGAGCAACATCAATTTTTGCAGAAGATTTCACGATAGAGACTTCAGAAGATGGTGTGAGTGATTTTGACACCTCACATATTTATACTGGTTTCCTCCAAGGTATGTTGAACTTTGAACCTAATATAAATTCAGTGACTGTGGCATACTACACGTTGGTTTACAGCAGCAAGGCGCTTTGGGTGTTCTTGAGTTTGAAACTTGTGTGCGAGTGTTTATTACTCGTATTTGTATTACCGAATGTTGTTTACCGCACTGTTTAACCTTGGTTGGTACCTGAACTTATTTTGAGCTTGTTAATTCTCCTACAAGGAAGTAAATACTAGTAGTACATGTTTATATATGAAGGTCCTAGACCATGTACAGTACAGTGAGGCGTAACTTAACCTCAAACCTATCTATTACTGGCTTTGGATTTTCATACAAACTTATAATTTTTTAAGCGAGTACAATGTATATTTATCATCTATAATTTCAACTTATCTTTTCTTGTATTTGCCTACTTAAAAATACTTTATTTTCGCTTGGAATTAATTAATTTTCGCAGAAGGAATGATTAGGTGAAAATAAAATCCAGTGAAAATACCTGACAGTGTCTTTCTATATTTTACATTCAACTTGTCAAAAATAAGTGAAAATGAATTCCACACAAAAAGTCTTTTCAGCGAAAATTAATTCTAGCTAAAATAAAGTATTGTATAGTATGTTATTAATACGAGACAGATTACATGCATAATTTAGGTATGTGGCAGTTTGAAAGCAATTAAGCTGAATTAGCTTTATGCTCTGATTGTGCTATAACACTTGTACTCTAAGAAATGCTAGACATATGTTGAATTCTTTATGTGTGTACAATCCTCCAAATACAATGAGGAAAACTGGACAATTGGGTCAGTACATGCCTTAAATTCAGCCAATAACATGTCGGTCAGTATGGACAATTCAGTTCATTCATTGTCGTACAACGTTCCAAATACACTGATATGTAAAACACAATTACACAAAGGTTTTATGTGGCAATTAATATACTGGTATAAATGGTTTCTAGAGCATAGCATGTTCAAGGTTGTTTAAGAAATGTGTGTGCAGCAATAAAGGTATTAACATGCAGGTGAACAATCCCTGTAGCCTTTGTGTTTATTCTGTTGTGACATTTTCCATTCAGACTTTCAGAATGTAGGACTTGTTGTACAATTACAAAACAGAAAATGATGGTGTATGTTAATTACCACAATGCATTGGGGCAGTCGCTGTACATTACTTATTATCTTACTTCTAATTGATTGATTCGCACTCTCTAGCGATGAAAAGTGTACGACTTGCATCGTAAGGAAGGTCATTCACAGCATCAGGATTGTTTTAATGTTGTCTTTCAAGGAAAAAATATTTTTGTTTTGTTTTTTTGATAGGATAGGATATTTTCTTTGGAATGTACACAAAACACAGCTTACCCGGTATATGCCAAGTCCGAAGACATTAATAACAAAACAACACAGCTAAAATAATTCTATCACAAGAAAAATAAAATTTGCTTATATGCTGGAAATATAACTGTCATTACTAGAAAGCACAAAAGTAAATAACTAGAACGTAGAAACGTTGTCATGGTGAATGACGTAAATATTTGATTACCACAGTTTTTAAGTCATTAGCGACATCTTGAATTAGCAAATCAGTTCTCTCGCTAAATTCGCGAAAAAGACATGCTCGCGAAAAAGACATGTTTTACAGTATATCTGGCTCTCAAGGGTGACCCTGGAGTGTTGTATGACAATGCGATAATTCTCAATATTGTGGTTTCTTTCTTTAGGTGAACCATCTAGCCATTGCCATGGCTCGATTCACAATGGCACATTTGAAGGATCTATTCGCAGCGGATCTGATGAGTATTTCATTGAGCCAGCACACAGGTATTACAAAGAACACCATCCAGATTTCCATTCTGTTATCTATATGGGAAAGGACGTGCAGCTTACGAGTGAACACCGCGATCCTTCCGGATGTTCCATGTCAGCAGAGCTGTTTACTAAGATGCAAAAAATACAAAATGATTTTCAGGACAAAAAGGTATGTTTTGGTGGATTTTTAGAATTCAGTGAATAAACCATTTTTTGTCAAACTAAAATGAACTGAAATCCAATTCTTTTACATGTACTTAGACGTTAGGCATCTGTCGTTTTCATAAGTGCATACACTACTAATAGAAAAAATAATATAGTCTAGAAAATATATCAAGTAGTCCACATCATAGAAATTAAAACAAAGTTAAAATGCAGTTACTTGTTGATACTAAAAATCAATCCAAAACGAATGTATGGAAATTCTTGGGAATTTTTTGAAATTGAGAAAAAAACTTCTGACATCCTACAGTCAAGGCAAATTTTGAGTTCTTTCGTTACCTTAAAAACGTAAAAACATTCCAATTTCATCTGTGTAAATTTTGCTGCATGAATGTTGGATAGCTCATCAGAATGCCGGGAACCATGGCAACCAACAATACAGGGCGGTGGGTGTACCTAGCTTTCCCAATTCTGAAAACGAAGATTATTTATTTGGGTGGTATCTATGAAATCATTTATTACTACGTCATGTCTCAATTGTCTCTCATTACCACTCACATGTACAATGTGAATCCCAGACAATGCAATGCTTTCAACATACAGGCACACTGTAATTTATTGTTACAAGGAGGACGGCAAACAGCAAATATAATAACTGGCGTCAAATTCTGTACATTGAGTGCTCATTCTACTGCATGTTGTTTGTTCTGTTTGATTGTATCACGCTTGTTTCCATGCTGGCGTGTACTCTCATTGATATGTGTATACCAAAATTTTAATTTTCTAGGGACTACAAAAAATCAAACAATAACCTCTCAATAATACATTTTAAATTAGAACACAACTAGTTACAATAGTTGTAACAAGCAAATAAATACTGACTGAATGTCTAATAATAATAATAATAATATTAATAATAATAATAATAATAACTTTATTGCATCCTTAGAAGTACAAATTTTGGTTTACAGCAATAAATAAACGTCTACAAAATTAATGAAATGAAAGATGACATTTTTCTGATTATTTAATATTGATGCAATCAATGGCTTTTCCAATCAACAATTTGAACAGATCCATCAATCCATCAAGTCTGTCATTTT